TTGTGGTGGAATTACCGATATTGTTTTTGATTGCGGCGATGTTTTTGCTAGAGCCGTCGATGGGTGTGAGGTTGTTGGATATTAGTGGAATTTGTGTTGATGGTAGAGGAAGACTAAGTCGATGAGATTGTCGAAGTTTTTTTTAATATTTGAGATCGGTATGTGTTTGGTTGTGTTTATTTTATTTCTTGAGATACGAGCTTTGGTCCTAATTGGAAAAGTTGTGTTGGGTGGTTTGCCTGTCATATTAATGTTGTTCATTAGAACTGTTATTATTTTATTAGAATATTCGTATTACATATTTCGCACTTGTGATAATGTAACACACGTGCTACACTGTAAGAGGTCAAAAACGTACTAAGAATGGACTATTATATTTCAGACTATGCAATGAAATATCACCATTTATTATTTTAGTAGGTTCAAATATTATTTTTCTCGCTTTGAGTGTTAAGTCCCTATAATACCCTTTGTATATTGAAAATACTATGTACTGTGTTATTTATTTATTTCTAGGACTTTTCCATCCTAATTCCTTTAACTTGTTTTAATGTTTCCTGACGCAATTATTGTTAGTCTCATATGACATTTGTCTGACGTCTGTTAAAAGTATTAATGCAATCGTACACATACCTATCAACTTTATGAGCATCTATGGTTTCAATTTTAATATGGACACAATTTGTATCCTTTATCCCCATTACACGCCATCGTTTTTTTTAACAATCTTTCAGTATAACTCAGTAAATTTATGAATTTAGTCTAAAATATACTCAATTTACATCACCTATTACATTGGATCGTGGAATATAATTAAATTTATTATAGCACCTGCTGCCTATACTACACGTCTTACTTTACCACTATTGAACATTATGATATTTTTAGGTTAGGTTAATGACAAATAAAACAAAATATTAAATTAGTCATTCTGCAATAAATTATGTTCATCTATAAAGCTTATAACGAACATAATTTAATTTAGTTGTGTAATAATTTCCAAATCAAAAACTTAATATTTACTTTATAAATGTCTTATTTTTATTTTTATGGAATACATTTTTTTGAATTTTTAATATTTTTTCGGTATTAATTTTAAATCATAATAGTAGTTTTAAATTAACATTTTATAGTTTTAATACAACATGTTTTTAAACAATATAGTTTTATAAATACACATACTTTAATTACCTAATATCATCAGCATGGGTTATCAACAACTACTCAATACAATAATATCCTATAAATAAATGCATTGTATTTTTTGTATTTGTAAAGTGAAAAAGATTGTCAACCGTTTCAAATTATAAATTTTTTGGTGATATCTGATTATTTGTTTTTAGTCAAAACGAGAACTATTAAAGTTTACTAGTAAATTAAAAACAATAATTTCAGATAGTATAGGTTCATATTAAACATTATCATATAAGTAATCCTATCATTTAACTGCCACAGTTCAAATTAAATTAAATTGAGAGGAAATTCTATTACTTTTATTTCAATTATTTATTTATATTATTATTTTAAAGCCTATTGTATAATAATACCAATTAGTACTAATTGTTTAATGAAAAAAATTTTATGAGGTAACTAGTAATACCTAACAATATAAAATGAAATAAACATATAATAAGCTTCATATAGAGTCAGTATTACCGTTTATCTTGTGGTCGTTGATTAAAAAAAAAAGATTCTAAACTTGCATGGATAGTATAATATTATTTAACCTAATACGTAAAATTGTATTTTCAAGTAAAATACTTTATTTTCATTTATAAATTTAAAATGTCCAGTTACACTCTTGGAAAATCTAAAGAATGACTAGATAGATACATCTACATTTTAATACATTTTATACAAGAAAAGTTAATTGCAATTACATTAAAGAAAAAATATTTATAAGACAGTGAAGTTAAGTACAATAGTAAGTTATTCAGTTCATATTTATGGAAAGACTAAATAAACTTAATCAAATATATTTATATTATGAATCTGATTCATATAAATTCAAATTAATTCAAATAATATATATTATATAATCAAAAAATATTTTACACATTTCTTTTGTTTTTGATAAAATATGTGATTTCAAAATATATTCTTTGACAAGTACAAAACAATATTAAGCTACATGAATTAAACACCAATACAAATTAAAATAATTTTTTTTTTTAATGAACAATTCGCTTTAAGCTTTTAAATCAAATCATTATGTTGAACTTGTACGTAGGAATTAATACAATGATTATACAAAAAGATGATATAATATTTATATTATAATAATCCATCAATAATGTAATATCTACTACTGTAATATCTACTACTGTATATTATTTAGCCAATTTCTCTGTCTTTTTCGTGAACTACATACTTTATATTTTGTAGGTAATAATAAATACCTTTAGAAGAAATATTAAATATAGTTATTTAAATGAAAAAAATACAAGTATCTAAATTTGAGAAAAATAAGAGAAAAACATTAAAAAATGAATCTATTGTCGAATAACACAATATTATAGTGCTTTGTCTATTTTATAATGAACCTTCATACAAATTATAATCAAATCATTTTCAGATAATATGTTATTAACTTGTATCGAATTATTAATTATTACATAATTTCAAACTTTTACACAAGCGAAGGTAATATGTTACGTAGGTAATATATCCCATCACTGTAGAATTGTAGATAATCCGTCTGTACAACAATTCCTCGAATTAATATTTAAAACAGTTTAATACAAAAGCATAATATCAAGTCTTAGAAATTTAATGTGGTTGGAAGTGGGACGAATGACTTCCTAAAGATTTCACATAATGTCGAAGTTAAATTCTATCTAAACTTTACTAGATAACGGATAGGTACAGCCACTTGGGATTTTCATTTATTTTTCAAACCAAGTATATATCTGGCCTCTGCTATCTCTGAAACAACTTTTCAGAGAAGAGTAGTACGTCAATTATATACTTGGGATATAAGTGCTCACGAAGAGATTAACGTTTAGAGGAAATGTGAATTAGGAAAAGGTACTTATAATGGCAATATAGAAAATAATCTTTGATTATCGCAGACACAATGTGTCATATAATGTAACATTGTGTTTGAATTGGTATGATAACTATCTAAAATTGTGTATCTTAGTTTAATGTCATAGCCAGCGATTACCACTGAAATTGAACTGTCACTTTAAAGGGAACTTGTGAGAAAATTCACTACACAAATTGTTCTGTGCATTCTCCAAGAGTTTGGATGAATTCTGTTTTTACAACAATAACTGGATTATGTCACGAACAACAATGTCTATTATAGCATATATACCACCACATCCCATTACTTATAACTCTTAAGTTCACCTTACACGTTTTCAATAAACTTATCAAATATTATAACTGTTTAAATAAGTTCTAGTGACGTATTCAGGGTAGGGGTTCTAAAAGTTAACAGTTTAATATACCTATTTATCAAAATTCAGTAAATGGTGGTTATTGTAATAATGTTCTCATTATAAATCAAAATGATTTACTACTAAAATAATACATCTAGTATTCAGTAATTAAATAAATTTTAAAAAAAAAACTGTAATAATATTTTAAAAAAGAGGGAAAGTAGGTATTCAGAGTAGGAGTCGAGTGTCATTGTGTAAGTCACTGTAACGGTTAACTTAAAATTGAGTCAACAATATAATTTAATGATAAATCATTGCATATGAAAAATTATTCTGTGTGGAGACTGTCTGTCACTCTGTATTACTAAGTTTATATTATCATATACTTATTTTATATTGCTATAAAATGCTATAATAGTATATAATAGCTATATTGCTATAAAATATTTTACGGATAGTAATACGGTAGGTTAAATTCATTTTGGCCTAAAACATGGCATTTATTATAATGTTATTAATATTTAATTATTATAATAGTAAATATTTAAATAATTATTGATATTAACTTTTGAGTCACACCCGACTCACACTAGACATATTTTTAAATATATTTTTTTCTGCTATACCCCTAAGGTCTTAAGAATTCTTGAAACAAATAATTATATTCAAAATTTCAAAATGTTTTTCTGGAAGCACATAACTTATAATAATAAATATCATTGTAACCTAATATGGATACTTAATCATGAAAATCTTGAGTGTAGCACTTGTTAAATAACAAATATAAGTTGTTAATAAACTGAACATTTAGAAACAATTTAAATCTAAAAACAACGAATTTACAATTTTTTTTTTTAACTGTGAAACAAATTTAGTTTATAGTTTATTTTATAACTCAATACTATTCTCTTAAATGTATCAAATCTACGACCAATTAAAAATATTTATTTAAGTTTAACAAAATAATTTTGATTATAATATAGTATTTGAAGTTATTTAAATTCTATGACTAATATTAAATGTAATAATGTTAAAATGTATTTTAGAAAATAAAAAATCTCTAGCAATCTAAAATATACTAAAAAAAGAAGAATCTAGTAATATTCGGCATCCATTATTATGAGTGATATCTGGGAGAGGTAGGAGATAGGTTTGTTGACTAAAGTTGGGCATATTATTATGCTTATTAATGTGTCGTCGGTTGCATTGTCTGTTGATAGATAATTAAAATAGATAACACGAAATCACAACTTTTAGTTTTCTGATACACATAATATTATATTATTGTAATAACAATACAAAAAAAAACAAATATATTATCCATTGGTCAATACCTGAAAACAAGGTAACTGAGAAACGCGGACGCATTAATATATTGTGATTGCGGTAGACAGCGTACTGGTACAATAGATATAACTAGACTAAAAATATATAAATAGCATAATATATTGTGGAAACCAATCTGATTGTTAAAACTGTTCAATATAGTAATTGTATCATCCAACGAAAGAAAAATATCAAATGACGTGAATTCGTTTAGTCACGTTTTATATTTGTGATGGTGTATTATTGTATTAAACTTGAAAGCAATGCTAAATCATCGCATTCAAAAGACTAGCTGAGCTGAACTGACATGAGCGAATGTGCTAAATTAAATTTCTTGAACTCATAAACACATACCTGTAATTTTCCTGTTGGAACTTTATTCCTTGTTTTTTCGTTCATTTGTTCTACGTCTTGATTGATTTTTGTCGCTGTGATGGATCCTTGCTTTAGATGAGGGGAATATTTTCCATTTAACACAAGTTTCGGGGTGTACCCATTCCTTGGAGTAGAAGGTTCAGTGGAGAGTAATTCCATGAGATTTTCAAGTCTCTTCCTTTTCCACTAGATGGTGGCCTTGGAACAACCGATGGATCTGATGTGCTGGTGATTGGAGATCTTCGCTTTGTCGAACATGTTCTTTGATACCCTGACCATTTGGTTTCGGAGGGGATCGATGTTGGATGGATTAGTATGTATATTCAGACGGCGTTTCGCATCAGGATTTCGGGTATGTTGCAATTCTCATTAGAGCTACATCTAGAACATCCATCCTATGGTTATGGTTATCAGGGAAGTGAGTTGGGGTTACGGGAACTGTCACAAAATAGTCATTTTGGTCCATATAGTTGAATGGACTTAATCCAGCTGTGTGTGTGGAGTTGCTGTGCCATACTGGGTATTTGGCATTTAGACCTCCCGCTACGATAACATATGTGTTTGTGTTGAGTAAGAAGTCTAGGTTAGGTTCAAGGCGTTTGTTTTATCTGTCTTGACAGTTCCAATATAAGATCCGGAGAGAGCTATTCATGGTGGTTGATAATGGAGATTATGGCTGAGATGGCCATCATTAGGGTTTTTATGATGTCCTGTGATTCATACATTTTCCCAATTACCTCGGTGAGGAGGTTTGTAAAAAAACTGCTTCGGGATTGTTACTGTTGGTGCCAATTGTTTATTTGTTTTATTTGATATGATTGATGCATATGAAGAGATTTACTGAGTGTTTTTTGGTGATGTGTTTGATTCTGTAACTGTAGGAGCTGTAGTGATGTGGTTTGATTTCAGATGGGTAGGATTTGATTGTTTTTCAACAAGAGCGGATATGTATGCTGGGCATTTGCGGTAGTTTTTCCGTGTGGGGGCCACTGCAATCGCAATGTTCATCTGCGGTTCTTATGCAGGTTTTAGTTTCGTGATTGTCGCCTCATTTTACGCATTTTGGTGATTGCAGTGGTTTGAGGAGTGGCCAAAGCCTTGGCATGCGAAGCATTGTGCAGGCCCGGATGAGCGATATGGTTCTACTCTGATTGTAATATAAAATAATGCGGGTATGTCGAAGATATGCTTGCAGGACGGGTTGTTTGAGAGTGTTACAGTGAACATTTGCGGTACTTTGCGGCCGTCTTTTAGAAATTGGCGTATGGTTTGGATTTCGAATCCTTTAAGTTCAAGTTCTGCTTTAACCAGGCCTTCACAGAAAGATAGAGAGTACCTCTAAGGAGTACTTTTTCTTCAGCCAAAGAAAAAGTATGAAATGGTATGTTATTATCCTAGAGATTGGACTGAGATTTCCGGAAAGTATCAATGTCGATAGTTTGTAAATGTATAACATTTTTGACGAGTTTTACTGTAAGGTCTTTGCCTGGAAACATGGGTATGATGAGTTTTGACGCTGTTGGCTATGTACTGTATGACCTCCTATGGCCGTACTTATCATTTTGTTAGTGTAGTTTGAAGAACATATATTTGATAAAAAGTCTCTGACTACCGTCACTTCCTGTATGGTGTGTTCTGATTGGCTGATATTGTGTAGTCCTGAAAGGAATTGTTTTGGTGAGTGGTGCACAGTTACAAAATTAAAAGTACCACTCACAACTATTCCAAAATTATACATATATAAATAAAGTAACAATACTTTATGCAGGGTGTCTACATATCTTTTAATTTAAACCTGTTTTCTGAGGTTATTAGTTTATTTTTATTATTTGATGACATATTTCTAGCTAGATTCTAAAATATATTATGTACACAATATTAAGGAACACAGTCAAATAATGTTCCGAAAATGTTTTCTGATACTTATGTACTTAACATTGTTACGGAACAAACACCCACCAAGTAAAAACGATTGAAAAAAAGGACACGATATGACGAGTGAAAATCACACATGATAGATAGGAATGTCCGTTCAACGGTGTGATTTTCACTCGTCTAAAACATATTACGCGGACCAATCAACGATGGACTAGATTGTCGAAAAGGGTATAAATACCGGACACTCTCGACAATCTAGTCAGGACAGTTCACATCCGAACAAGTCCAACAACACTCCAACATTCACATGAACGTTTGTGAACGTTACCTCAAGCGAACGTCACTCCGGCTCACCACCCTGAACCACATCTAATCAGTAAGTAGCCAAATACCATTTCCCCCCCCCATCCTCGACCACGCGGCACGGTCACCAATTCCCCCCCCCCAACTAGACCACGAGGCAAGTCACCTGAGGGGTGACCCGACCGGGTCGCGCACCGAAGCGCAGGTCAGCCCAACCGCTGAAAAATCCAGAAATGGCCCACAGAGGCGCTGGAAAAAACAACAATAAGCGCACAGCCACTCCTCCATCATACGACACCGTTAAGAAAGGTAGACCCCAAACCTACTCACCACCTCCTTTACGAATCAACACCGTCCAAAACGCCAAAACCAAAGCTACCCAAAACACTAACAAAAATCAAGCTGCAAACGCCATGCAGAAAACGTCCACACTAAGCTCTAAATCCTCCCCACACAAACAACAAAACAAAGCCACAACTGAGAATAATACAAATGATAAACAATCACTACCTACAACAAGCGAAGATGAAGATGAAGAAGACGACATCAATTCCACACACTCCACATTGTCGCAGCCACATAAAATCAATCCTAAAATTCCACCAATCATGCTCAAAGGCGCGGACTGGAGAAAAGTGGCGGGAAAACTGATGACAACAATTCCAGAAAACTCCTTGGAAGCAAAATTATTTGGCCCAGAGTCGATAAAAATACAGTGTCATGACATTGAGTTATTCAGAATAGTTCAAAAATATCTGACAACCACAGGTACTGCATTCCATACCTTTAGCTTACCTGAAGAAAAAACTTTAAAAATAGTTATAAAAGGTCTCCTTAGGGAAATATCTGAAACAGAGGTATTGAATGAACTAGTCCAACTAGGATTCACAGCAACAAATGTTAGACAATTTGGAAAAAACGACCAAAAACTGCCCATCCACATGGTAGTGTTAAAAAACTCTCCAGAAAATAAAGGTATTTTCAACTTGCGTTCAATGTTTTACATGGCGGTAAAAATAGAACGGTACAAATCAAATACTCCAGCACAGTGTTATAACTGCCAAAAATTCGGCCACTCAAGTGTTCACTGCGGATCGGCTCCCAGATGCGTTAAATGCGCTGGGAACCACAAAGCTAAAGACTGCACTAAACCTAGTGATGAAAAGCCAAAATGCACTAATTGCGAAGGTGAACACACTGCAAACTACAGGAAATGCCCAGCCTTCTCCCAAGAGACGGAAAAAAGGCGTCCAGTCAATCGTAATATAATTGGTCAATACACACTTTCCAACCTCCCATCATCAACTCAAACGACACAGTTAAATGTAAATACTCCCAACCTCATTAACTCCAACATGAGCTATGCTGAGCGTACAAAACCAAGAGACAACGAAATCATTAAGCCTATCTTAGACCAACTAGAAAACCTAGTTGCAGTGATCTCCTCAGGCAACACCGAAGTTCAAACGATCATTTCCACTATAGTGGCACTACTTCCACTATTACTAAATCTACTCAACCAATTATGAATTACACCAGAATTATGTTCTGGAATTGTCAAGGTGTAAATCGGAAACGCCTTGAACTTCTCAATTTTGTCCAGGAAAAGAAAATTGACATAATCCTACTGAATGAAACTCATCTGTCAACAAACAAAGAATTCAAACTCCCAAATTTCATCACTTACACAACCAACAAAACTTTGGTCAGCGGACGTCCACCAGCGGGTGGTACTGCTATTTTGATAAACCGAAAATTCAGCCACATACAAATAAAAATCCACACAAATTCGATTACCAACACATCCATATAAATGAGACTAGGCCAATCTGATATTCGTATAATATCAGTATATAAAAGCCCGTCCACTCCTCTCCAAACAAAAGACATTGAAAACCTCCTCGACTCACATCAGAACGTAATAATAGCAGGGGACCTCAATGCAAAGCATAGATCGTGGAACAGCCTGAAAAACAACATGGCAGGAAAAACATTAAACAAATATATCAGCACCAGAACAGACACAACAGTAGCCGCCCCAACCTCGCCAACAAGATATCCAACAGACATCAGACACAGTCCAGATGTACTTGATATCGCTATTATGAAAACGGGAAGTATTGGGTTCATACTGGAAAACCTCACCCACGAACTATCGTCCGATCACTCCCCAATACTTCTGGACATACCACTTAACTCAACTCACACTTTTCCGCCCAAACCACTGTTCGTTACAAACTGGGAAACATTCAAGGAAGAAATGGGAAATTTATCCCTTCCCTTCGAAAACATCAGATCAAAACTACAGATTGATAACCTGATAGAACAACTGACTTCCACCATCTCCCAAAAACTTAAAACAAGCTCATCCACATTCACAGCACAGGACAGAAAAAACGATTTACCAACCTTCATCCAAAAACAAATTAAGAAAAAACGAACTTTAAGAGCGGTATGGCAAAGGACCAGAGACCCAATTGTAAAAAGAGCCCTCAATAATCAAACGTCATTAGTTAGAGATCTACTACAAGCGCACAAAGACAAAGAATGGACAACGTTTCTGGGCTCCATAGACAATGATGCGCAAGGATGGTCAAAGCTTCACAAACTTAACAGAAGACTCCTTCGGAAACCGCCACCAATTCATCCTCTTGAAGACCAAGAAGGTCATCTTCAATTTGATCCTGAAGCTAAGGCCAACCTATTTGCTCAATCAATGGAAGATCAGTTCACTTCTAGCGATTCCCATTGCTGGGTTGACGATGTAGTTCGTGAATCCATAATCCAGCATGACGATTCCATCTACGAAAAATCTATATTTTTCTCTCCTGGAGAAGTACTCGAAGCAATCCGGAGACTTCCAAATAAAAGTTCTCCGGGTCTCGATAACATACCAAACCTTGCACTAAAACATGGTGGTAAAAAACTAGCCTTATTTCTCTGTCAAATATTCAACTCTTGCACTAGACTTGAATATT